TGATATTGCTCTACCTTTTACCCTGTTTCCGCCCTACCCCTGTAATCAATAAAGTTCTCCTTTGTGACCGGTGTGGAGACTTATTGAGGGGTGGGTCTAAATTATGCCGAGGAGGCCCCTTAGGTCTGTGGACTAAGGGAGGCTTCCTAATCAGCTCCTGACTTGGGGAAGTGCCCCAAGTGCTTGTACTGGGTCTAGCACCCATTGGACGATCAGGCCTGTGTTTTCCAAGGTGCGCAGAGCCAGAAGTGAGTCCAGAGCCTTGGATGGTGGCAGCGGGACCCCCAGGCTAGCGGGTGTGCTCCGGGGAAGGGGTCAGCCAGATGGGAGGCACCCTAAGGGAGGCACTCGGAGCCTGGAAGGTGGGCGGCGCAGGGAGGTGGGTGGCTCAACGCAGGAGCGCCCCCTACTGGCCCGCCACACAAGTTACTGCAAGCTATACATCTAGTTAGATCTCAGGTAACTTATAAGTATCATCCAGAGGCAGGTGGGGATTCTCTTTGGAGGCAGGCAGCTCATTGATCATGAGTTGAGAGAGTTTCAGATGGTCCAGCTTCTCTGAGAGTTTTCATCATGGCTGCTGCTCCTCCTCCTGGGCAGTCCTTCACTAATACAGCCCTTATGACCTCATTTACCTGTTCCAATGAAGGCCAGCAACTCTTGGCTGCCAGCCAACCAATTTGAAATGCATCACTGGTTGCTGGGTAGACTGCCAGGGTCTTTAGCCCCTTCCCAGTCATGCTGGCATTGCTTATAACAATAGGAAGTTTAAGCCCCCACCCAGGTGTGTGAGGCCAGTCATGTAGGCAGAGGAAGCAGGCTTCCCCCCTCCCTCAGGAATGTATCCAGCTAAGATTACAAGTCAGTGTTACCTGAAGCTGATGGGGCAGAAGTGCCTGACCTTTGCAGTGACCATGGTAAAGCAGAGTTTGGGGAGAGACAGAGATGGTTTTCTGCCACATAGGCTGCAGAGGAGACAGCCATGCTTGGGGTTGGAGGTATAATGGAGGAGTTATTGGGGCTGGTTTGGGTCCCACATATGTTAGCTCTGTGGAGGAGAGGCAGGACCCCCATCCCCTGTCCTAGCCCCTTGCCTCCCCTGCCCATCCCCTACTGGGTCAGGCTGCACTGCCCAAGCTGTGTTGCAAAGCCCCAGGTGGAGGTGCAGCGTGTCCTGGTAGGAGGAATCTGGTCCTCCTGTAAGTCCTCTCCATGGATGAGAGCTGACCTGGGAGGGAGACCGTAGGCCAGTACCAGCTGCTTCCACGCTGGGCTGGGGGCAGTGTTGTACCAGCTATGGGGTCTGAGTTCTTTACAGTGTGCGCGCTCAACCTCTGCTCCCCAGGCCAAATCATAGAAAATGAGGGTTGGGAGCGACCTCAGGAGGTCACATCTAGTCCAGCATCCTGCTCAGAGCAGAACCATCCTCAACTACATCATCCCAGCCAGGACTTTGTCAAGCTGGGCCTTAAAAATGTCCACGGATGGAGATATCACCACCTCTCTGGGTAACTTGTTCCAGTGCTTCACCACCCTCCTTGTGAAAGTTTTTCCTAATATCTAAGCTAAATCTCCCTTGCTGCAACATGAGCCCATTGCTCCTTGTTCTGTTATCTGCTCCCACTGAGACTAGTCCAGCTCCATCTTCTTTGCAACCCCCCTGCAGGGAGTTGAAGGCTGCTATCAAATCCTTTCTTGGTCTTCTCTTCTCCAGACTAAATAAGTCCAGTTCCCTCAGCCTCTCCTCACAAGTCGTGTTCCCCAGCCCTTTAACCATTTTCCTTGCCCTCTGCTGGACTTACTCCCAACTTGTGCACATCCTTTCTATAGTAGGACCACCAAAACTGGGCACAGGACTCCAGATGCAGCCTTAACAGTGCCAGATAGAAGGGAATAAGCACTTCACTTGATCTGGCAACACTCCTACTAATGCAGCCCAGGATGCCATTAGCCTTCTTGGCAGCAAGGGCACACTGCTGGCACCTATCCATCTTATTGTCCACTGCTTAGCCAGTTGGTCCCAAGCCTGCACTCGTGCATGGAATTCTTCTGTTCTCAGTACAGGACTTCATAGTTTCATAGTTGGTCGGGTCGGAAGGGACCTGAGATCATCTAGTCTGACCCCCTGCCGTGGCAGGAAAGAGTACTGGGGTCAAACGACCCCGGCTAGGTGTTCATCCACCCTCCTCTTAAAGACCCCCAGGGTAGAAGCCAGCACCACTTCTTTTGGAAGTTGGTTCTAGATCCTAGCCACCCTGACAGTGAAATAGCGCTTCCTAATGTCTAGCCTGAAACTACCCTCCACTAGCTTGTGTCTGTTGTTTCTTGTAACTCCCAGGATTGCTCGGGGAAACAGGGACTCCCCCAATGCCTGCTGGTCCCCCTTGACTAGTTTGTAGACTGCCACTAGATTCCCCCCTCAGCCTTCTCTTGTGGAGGCTGAACAGGTTCAGGTCCCTCAGCCTCTCCTCGTAGGGCCTGCCCTGCTGACCCCTGATCACGTGGGTGGCCTCCTCTGGACCCTCTCAATGTTGTTCACATCCCTCCTGAAGTGCGGTGCCCAGAACTGGACACAGTACTCCACCTGCGGCCTGACCAGTGTCACGTAGAGGGGGAGGATCACCTCCTTGGACCTGCTTGAGATGCATCTGTGGATGCATGACAAGGTGTGGTTGGCCTTCCTGACCACGTCCCCGCGCTGTCGGCCCATGTTCATTGTGGCATCAATGATGACTCCAAGATCCTTTTCTGTCTCAACACTGGCGAGAGGGAGTTCCCCAGCCTGTAGGTCTGCTGCTGGTTCTTCTTCGCCAGGTGCAGCACCTTGCACTTGTCAGTGCTGAACCCCATCTTGATCTCTTTGCCCTACCCCTGTAACCTGTCTAGATCCGCTTGCAGCTGTTCCTTCCTACTAGCGTGCCCACATCCCCCCCACATCTTAGCATCATCTGCAAACTTGAACAGGGTGCTTTCTAGCCCCTTACCCAAGTCACTGATGAAGATGTTGAACAGTGCGGACCCAAGGACCGAGCCCTGGGGGGAACCCACTGCTTACCTCCCTCCAGGTCGAATAAGACCCGTCCACCACCACTCTCTGGGTGCGGCCCACCAGCTAATTGGTGACCCATCTGACTGTGTAGGCATCAACACTTCGTACTTGTCCTTGTTAAGCCTCATGATATTTCTTTTGGCTCCATCCTCCAATTTTCCAAGTTACTCTGAATCCTAGCTGTACCGTCCAGGGTATCTACTACACCCTCCCCAGCTTGGTGTCATCTATGCACTTGCCATGGCTCGCTGAGTCATAGCATCCGGCCCACAGGCTTCCTCATGGATCAGGAAATATAATAGCAGGGAAGCGGTGGCCATTAATGCAGCCACCCCCTCCCGCTGCCAAACCCCAAGCACTGCACAGTGGTTTGGAGCCCTGCCAGGGCCAGCCCCCCTCCCACTGCAGTTGGATCAGGGCTGGGCTGTGCCCTTCCCCGTGTGGAGCTGTTTTGGGGCTGCCTCAAACCCACTTTTCCCCTTGTGGGGTTTGGTTGGGGCTGGGCTTCCCCTTCCTAATAATAGCTGGTTGGATTCCCACCATAACTGTCCCAGGTGCTGGATTGGGACCACAGGCCAGCTCCAGCCTGTGGATCAGCTGGTCTCTGTCCATCTAGCCTGCTGGCCAAACACCGCTGCTTTGTACCCTGACACAAGCCTGTGCTGTGCGGTGTAGAGCTGGCAGGAGTGGGTCACCTCTGCTGCAGGGGTAACTCCTGTTGGGGGGGCTGGCCCTGGCAGGGCTGGGGTGCAAGCGAAGAGACGGGCATTGGTGACATCCCGCGTTTGCGGGTACAGTGACTGCCCATGTCTGTGACTCATTGGGTGGTTTGGTTTTTAACAAGGTTACACCTGGCACCAGCTCCTCATGCCCTCAGCTTGCTGGGCACCCCCCACTTGGAGCCCGAGCCTCTTCCGGGCCAAGGGGTGGATTGAGACGGGGTTGAGTTGATCCTGCAGGAAGCAGCAGGAACGGATACGACCAGCTCTGGCCTTTGTGTCTCCGTGTCTTCTTCCAAGTCTCTCTTGTTGGAGGTCTCCCTGGTGTGCCAGAGCTGCAGTGGGGGAGAGCACTGCAAGGAAGGAGGGGGAGTGTGTGCATGCATGCATGTGTAAGGAGGGAGGATGAAAACATGAGTGTTCATAGGGTGAGTCCCACACACCCCACCATACACATGCACCCCCCCCAGTGTGAAACACACAGACCCCACACCCGCACGCCTCACACACCCCAGCCGTCCTCTCCCCACACTCAGCCCCACAGAAACCCTACCTACACCTCGCCTATCCACACCCACAGCCCCCACACACCTACCCCCCCAATATGCAAGAGCCAGACTTCATTTTAAGCTGCTGTGCGATCCCCTCATGCACACTACACACACATGTGCATCAGGGCACGCTTTTAAATCAAATAAATGAGTGTTGCAGACGATCACTTTGTAGAATATAACCTGGTATTTTCCTGGTGTGGAGATGGCAAACCCCTTGGTGAGGGGAGCACTGCTGGGGCAGGGGAGGGACTTCCGGTGGCAAAGGTCAAGGGTTAGGGGGCGGGACTTCCATCACAAGATGGCGACAGGGGCGGGGCACCTGTTGGGGACGGGGTGGGGTTACCTGCATGGCCTTGACAGCTTGCCAGAAGTGGGTAAGCGGCCCTCTGCCCGGAGTAACTGCCTGCCTTGCCCTGGTCTGACCCGTGTCTCCCCCACGTCACAGGCTCGCACCGAATGCGTTATTTCTATACGGGGGTGTCGGAGCCTGGCCCGGGGCTGCCGGAGCTTGTCATAGTCGGGCACGTGGATGACCAGCTCTTCATGAAGTATGACAGCAAGACCAGGAGGGCTCAGACCCGTGTGGACTGGATGAAGGAGGGCCCAGAGTACTGGGATGGCCAGACCCAGATCGCGCAGGGCTGGCAAGAGTGGTTCAATGCGAGTTTGGACATTCTGCGAGAGCGCTACGACCAGACTGGCGGTAAGTGCAGCGCGGGGGGGGCAGGGAGGGCAGCGTGGTGCCAAGGGCAAGCGGGGAGGACGGGCTCCTGTGAAGGACATTTCTGACCCCCTCCCTTGCACAGTGTGTGATGCTGCCCTTTCATCTTGACACGCTTTACCTGCTCTGTCCCGTGTGCGAGTGCCTCAGGCGTACGAGGCTGCTCCCCGTCGTGCCCCTGCCACGGCCCCACGTCGCAGGACGAGGCGCAGGGGG